TCTAGAATTAATGTGTATCATAGCGAACGTTGAATTTTGAAAAAAAATTAATTTTAATTAATCTTTTTTTTTTAAAATTTCGATAAATAAAATCCAGGGTTATATATCGAACTATGATAACCTTTGACCGTCTATCAGTGATGTCTGGAATTTATATGTGTCATATCCAGGGTTAAACGTTTAAAATAAATTAATTTTAAATATTCTTTTTTTCCAAAATTTCAATAAATTGTATCCACGGCTGCATACATATATAAATAATGACCTTTGACCGTCTAGCTGTGATGTATGGAATTTATATGTGTCATATCCAGGGTTAAATATTTAAAATACATTAAATTTGAAGATTCTTTTTTTTTTTCTAAACTATCAATAAATGATATCTAGGGTTATATTTATAACAATAATAACCTTTGACCGTCTATCAGTGATGTCTGGAAGTTATAAGTATTATATTCACGGTTAAATATTTAAAATAAATTAATTTTGAAAATTGTTTTATGGTGGGTGTGGCTGTGTATAAGTTACCACGAAAACCTATGTATAGATTATTTCTGATGTTCTTTTCTCAATTGAACTCAACCTTGGCCAAGGGGCCTCAGTAAAATTTGTATGAGATCCTAATTGAATCCAAAACATGATACCTAAAAAAGCAACATTTTTTTCGAATTTGAATCGTATCGCCGTAGAATGCTGTGAATGTGTATGATCTGAAAAGAAAGAAAAGGTTTTATATAGATTTCAAGAATTTTGTTCATAAATTTTTATTTCATAATTCATATAATGTATTTACAGGTATATAGAAGGTACAATATTTAGTTTGAAAAAAAAAATTTTTTTTTTTATTCAGTTAAGTGAGATGGTATATTCGGCTGGATATCCATCTGGCTATTTCGTTTATAGTTGAATATATTGGTAATTTTTCCTTGAAGTTCATATGCACGACGTTGTTGTAAATTATTTTCACGTTGAACTATAGAATGGATGATTTGTTCGAGTAAATCAGGATTTTTATGATGAGATTTAGTTGATTGTAGTTTATTTTTTTCTAAGTTTACTATTTTGTTGTAATGTTGTACAATTTCTTCGGCTTTAGCAATTGTTTTTTCAGCAATATGTTTGACTGATGATATTTGTTCCTGAAAACGAAGTGATATGAATATATGATAGATAGTTGGTAATTCTATGGCCTGAAGAGTATAGGATGAGTCTTGTGCATGAAATTCAAGCCATTTTTTAAATATAACAATTTCATGGATGATGTTTTGTTGTTCATTAGTAGCTTTCCATATAATTTTTGCTGAAGTTATCTAAATATTCATATATATATTTGTGAAATGTATGAAAGATTTAGATCTACTTACCTCTGTTTGTCTTGGCTTTAGTTGATAAAATTTTTCAACGAGTTGATGTTCTTCAGCATCTAGTCGGAGTATCGTTTTTCTTCTATCAAGTTCATGTCGTAATTGATATTGATCTTTTTGTACTAAATTATTTATCATAGTTGTAATATTTTGCATATCAATACTGAATGGTATTCGTTTCATATGTTCATGAATAGCTTCTTGATTTTTTTCACATTGTAGTTTATATTTCTCAAGATGTTGTTTGATTAAGTTTTTCGATCGACCATATGTGTAACACAAAGAATTAGCTTCGGCCATTGTTTTCGAGACTGAACCATTCCAAATACCTTCTGTCATGCCAAGATTGTAATAGTAAGACCATTGTTCATGTTGTAATTGAGAATAATTAAATTTATTGACTAATTGTGTAAGTTCACGAATAAATAATAATATTTCTTTTTGATTCAATAATTCAATAAGTGCATCTTGATTAATAATATTTGACGATAATTTTAATAACATTTGTGTCAAGTTGCTATCGGATAATTTTAAATAATCTGGTAATAATAATGTTGGATCATAGTTGGTTTCCATGTCCATAGGATTAGATATTTTTTTGTTTATCAATCCTTCTAACATCGATAAGTTTTGAAAGTGTCCACTGGTATCCATAGTTCCTAATTGAAATTTGTTTTTGGTAGATATTTTTTTCTTTTTCATACGTAGTTGACGATTGTTATTTTTCATATGTTGACCTTTACGGTTTTGCTGACTTTGATTGAATTTGTTTTTCATTTTTGCTTGCTAATAGTTGTGTTGAAGTTTTGATAATATACTGATACGAACTGGTTAGTGTTAAATATCTAGAATGAATGAATAAACTAAGGTAGAATTTATATGAAATATAGTACAACAATGAAAGAAAAAAAGTAAAGAATATACAATGAATTTTTTTTTTTCTTTTTTTTTTTTTTTTTTTGTTTTTTTGAAAAGTATAAGTGAAAGATTGTTTTTCAGGTCAATCTAATGTTCAGGAGATATTCACGCCATTGCCATTGACGCCATTTGGTTTTCGTTCTAAGAGAAAAACAATTAGTTATAATAGAAAGAAGAAAAAAAAAATAGTTGGTTATATCTTACTCTTCGCTAATGGATCTTCCAATACTGATAACGCTGGTCTTTTACGTGATAATTCAAATTCTATATTTGGATTATTTCGAAAACCGACAATTAATCGTTTCTCTTCATAGTCAGTGTTTTTGAAGTGACTATCATGTACCATATGTATTTCCCGTGCTAAACCTTTGAATCTTCCTTCATATGTAACATGAACGAATATATTATTTTTGAATTTATCATTTTTTCGTTTGACTGTTGCTTCCATATTGTTTTCATTTTGTTGTGCAACATTTTGAGTTCGTTGTGTGAGTTCTACCGCAGCTGCATTCGTAACAACTTGTGTTTGTTTAGCTGTGGGTTGATTTGATAATTTTTCACGTAATGCAAAAAATTCATTTTCATTCGTAATCATTGGTAAAATTGGCGACGAAGTTAATAACATATAGTCAGCAAAGAATTTTTCGAATTCTTGATTAATATAATTGGATGGATATCTCAAAAAACAAAAAAAATTGGTGGTGGAATAGATAACGAAAAAAAAGATGTACCTGTTATACAAGAACATTAAACGAATGGCACGTCGTTCATTATTAAATATTTCAAATGTTGAGGAATATCGTACGGCTCTAGTAAGAGCAGTTTGAATAACATTTCGAAATACATGTCGTGGATGATCCGATAAAAATGATATCACGGTTGGTTCAGCCGAAGGTTTATGATAGATAGATGATGCCAAAATACCATTTTTGTTTTCAAGATAAACATCAAGAAATGGAACACTTTTACTAATCTTATATTCTAATTTTATATTTGGATGAAATTTATTAGCTGCTTCTAGTAATTGTTTCACTTTGTCTTCAGATTGGTTACATGTAAAAAAGACGTCATCAATATATCTAAAGAAAAAAAAAAAAAAACATATACATATAATTAAATTTCTATGGATACTAGAAAAAAAAACATACGTACCGGCCATATAATTCATGTGAAGGTAATTTTGGTAAAATAGTTTGTCTTTCCCATTTCCACATGAAGATATTAGCTAATGTTAAAGTAAAAGGTGATCCCATAGCACCACCAATAATTTGTCGATAAAATTTTTTATTATAAATGAAAGCATTGGCTTGAAGTACTACACGAGCTAATTTAATAATAGTATCAATTGAAAGGCCATTCACTCTTTGACAATTATGTGTATGAAGAAATTCAGCAAGTGTAGCTAAAGATTCTTCTTGTGGTAACATTGTATAAAGATTGGTAATATCGAATGTAATAAAAAGAGTTGATGAATTAAAATAACCTTTTTGAATATATTTTTGAAGTTGATCAAGAAGATCAGCACCATCTACAAATGTTGTTTGACGTACAAATCGATCAAATAATGGTCGAATTAATTTATCTAAGAATTGAGATATTTTTTTTGTCGCTGCATGAATGGTATTTAAAATCGGTCGTAGTGGTGTACCTTTCTAAAAAAAAATAAATTTAATATTTAGCAAATTGAAAAACAAAAATAAGTATGGGAAGTAGTTACTTTATGTGGTTTAGGAATAAAATACATATATGCTAATTCAGTCGTCTTTCGTATAGGCATCAATTTTTTTCGTTGCCATTCAAATATTCGTTTGGATGATTGTAATTGATTAAGTAAATGTGTTACAGTACAGATAATATCATTGTATGGATTAGAAGTTAATTCTTCATAAGCACCTGTTGTCTGTCGATATTCAGCAGCTTTTCTTTCATAATCACTGGCCGCACCAATATGTAGTACACCACTTTTATCTGTTTCACGTAATATAAGTTTATATTTTTTTAATTTTTTTCGAATCGATTGAACCATTTTTAATTCACGTAGAGCACGTATTTGATCAATTAATGGTATTATAGTCATATAACTTTGATTTAAACAGGATCGAAGTTGATTAGAATATAATTTATATAAGGACGATGTGAGTGGTATTTTTGGTAGATCTGTGATCTCGGACATATACTTCGTAAGTTTTTTCATTGTGTCATCATGTTCTTTTTTAATTCTTTTTTCTACAGTTTGTTCCGGATAAAATACACTTGGATTCGGTCGTATATAACTGGGTCCTGAAAAAAGAAAAATAATATTAACAGGAGACAGCATAGAGAAAAAAAGAGTCTTACCTCTTGAAAGATAAGCAAGTTGAGCAGTAGTAAATGGATTATACATGAGATCGACAATAACATACGGCTTGACACTGACTGTTTTGTTTGTAGAGTTTAAGTGTCGTTGAACGCGTAATATGTCTTTTCGATAACAAGGAATTTTTTCATAAGCTATCTCTTGTTTTATTCTATTGATTCGACGATTGATATAGTTAAGAAAAGACTGATAGAGAGTTGTTGTTCCATTACTTATTCTAGTGTGACTTGAATTAGCTATTTGAAATTGATGTAATTCACGTTCGTATTCATCTTGGAATTTTTCTATTTGATTTTCATAGGCATCAACATAGGTATTTAACCATGTACGTTTTGCTTCTTGGATAATTTTATAACTATTTTGTTTAAATTCAATAGTTATATTGTCTTTCATTAAAGGAAAATAGTCGTCGAATGCAATAAACCATTCTAATTCATCAAAACTTCGAGGTAAAAAATCGATGGATACTCGAGCTTGTAATTTTTCAAATTCTTCGTTCACTTGTACTTGTTTTTCTTGTAAATGTCTAAGTCGATCGATCGTACTTTGCTACGAAAAAAAAAAAACAGAAGAAAAAAAAGTTTGAAATAGCGAACATTAATTTACTTGATCACTGGTTAGAGGAAAAGTCGATAAAATTTGAAATGATTCTATTTCTGTAATCAGGTCTTGATATCGATTGAGTTGATATTGCATCTTAGTTGCTAAATATTTTTGTTGTATTTGAACAAGTTCTTTAAGATGTTGATCCAGTGTTAATTGTAACGGTAAAAGTGTGACAGGACATGATTGCATTTGTGTTTTTAATTCATTTGTAAATTGATCATATTTAATTTTCATTTCATTGAGATGTTTCTGTACAAATTGTTGACATACTACATGTTCATCATTTTTTGTCATTTTCACAATGACATTCTATAGGAATTGAAAAAATAAGAAAAAAAAAACACAAGGATATATTTAAACTTACTGGCCACACTTCCTTTTCCGATCCTAAGTTTAAATATGATTGATATAAATTTTGACGAAGTTCAAGACGACATTGTTGATCTATTAATTGCAGTCGAGAATGAAGAAATTGTCGTTCACTTTTTTTTCTTAATTTATGCTTCAATAGTAGACGTAAACTTCGAAATAGTAGATTTGGATGTGCTCGCAAGTAGATTGGTAATCTAATAGTTGGTTTTAATGGTGTCATAGTAATTTGTGAAGATTTGCTTTTCTTCAATCTTTTAACTAATGGATGTGACGTTGATCGTTGACTTTGTGAGAGTATCATATGTTGTTTACGTTTATTCGATTTTGATGTTGTTGTTGTTTCATTTTCATTGATATTATCATTTAATCCATTGGATACATCCATTTCTTCAATGGTTGTATGTTGTACTTTTTTCTTTTTATTAGAACTTTGATTATTACTTTGATTATATTCATTCATTAATTTTTCTATTTCTTCTTTGGTAAGACCACGTTTACGACATTTTCTTTTGAATCGCTGTAATTTACGATTGCCATGACATTTTTTTCTTCGTTTATTTTTTTTCGTTGTTGATGTTGGCACTTGCTGCTGCTGTTGTCCAGTATGCCGTTGTGCATTTGGAATAAAACTTGAGCTTGAAGCTTCCATGTTTTTTTTTTTATTAGAAAATTTTGAAAAAAAAAATATATCTAAAACAAATGAAAAAAAATAAAATATACAAGAGAAAAAAGAGAATAATGAAAAATGATCATTTTTATTTAATTAATGTTGTACAGAATTTAAACGAACTACATCAAGTTTATGTTTATAAACACACTTTACACCTTCACTTATATTCTTGCAACGTTGTTCAATTAAAAGAATCATGTTGCCATTCAATTTTTTATCATTGGGTAGTAATTGTTCTCTGTCTTGTAATTGTTTTAATTTAAGATTAAACTCCTTCTCATATCGATCCATCTGGGCTTGAGCGGAAGAGAGATACAATTGTATCATATCTTTTTTGGCTTGTTGTGCTATATGTATATATTGATCATATAGTTTTTGTCGAGTAGCTTGATCTTCTATTGTTCTGAGAAATTTTTCATTACTTAATTCAAGAGATGTTGAAGATGATTGTTCAATTGAAATGCGATATTTCAATAAATTATATTCTTCTTTAGTTATATCTTCTTTATATTTTGCATCAAGAAATTTTTCCACAATTTTCTTCTACAACGAAAAAAAATTATACATATGTGCAGTAAAAAAAAATTATTATTACTTGTTGTTGAGTTGGATTATATGCCAAAAATTGTAATTCCAAGACGTGATCTGTATAATTGTAGCGAACAATGGCAATTTCTTGTTCTGTTGCCCAGCGAGCAGATTCAAGTTGTTGGTGAACAAATGTTTGAATTCTTGGTAGATAATTTAAAAATTGATTTTTCTTCATATTATATTTCGTTTGATATTGTTTTAATTTTTCATCTAATTGATCAAGATGTTGTATGACGTAATTTAAACAAGCAGCAGTATCAATGTTACCAGGTGATTGTTTATGAACAAATTTTTGTACTTGAATCGGCCAAAGATGAGGATGATTTGAATTATTATTATCCATTTGATTTAATTGGAGTTGACCTGTACCAGACTTTAAATAAGTTGACCAAAGTGATTTTTCAAAAACGATGAAAAAAAGTTGATGTATTACAATAGCCATTTCACGCAATGCTTCGATCATTTCGCTTGATGTTACATCACTAATCATTTGTTCGAACAATTTGCTTTCTTTTGATAAATAATATGGAATATTTTCCATGAGATTTTCATGAATCATCTTGGGATGTTCAGTTATGTGATCAGAATATGTAGATAATTCACTTAATTTTTGTGATAGAACTTGTTCTTCGAATGGCTAAGAAGAAAAAAAAATGATTTTCAAAAGTTCTCTTAAAAAAAAATTCATACTTTCAATCGACATTTGATACTCAGTTCTTCGCTGTCTTTGGTTGGTTTCATATTTATTTGTGGTTGATTTAATTTTTGTAATTGTTTAGTCCAAATTGGTAATTAATTCTAGTTTGACCAAAAAAAAAAAAAAAAATTATATCTGAAAAAAAAAACAGATATTCAAATATATTTGTCCAAAATCTACACTTTAACACAAAAGTTGAATGAAAAAAAAATCGAACAAATGTGTCAGGTTGAAAAAGATGAAAAACTGTCGATCAAAACAACCTGTCTTAGGAACAAAAACAAAAAATAGATACAATTAGAAGAAAATATTGTCATCGATAGTATGAATAAATTTCATCAATTGTTCTGCACGCTCTTTCATATTATTTAGACGTGCTTGAATAATTAGATACATTGATGCACTGAAAAAATCAAGTGAAAGTAACGAATGTTGTTCAGGAACAGCACCATCGTCGCAGGAAAACTCTGTGCATATTGAAGAAGAACCAGACTTCTTCTTTTGACGAATTACTTTCGCGTAGAACTTGCGTTGATCGCGCCAAATTTTTTGGACAAAATCAATCTAAAATTGAAGTAAAAAAATTTCTTTTGAAAAAAAAAAAAAAAAAAAAACAAAGAAACCTGTTCTTCAGTCGGATTTAAATCATAAAATGATTTGACCAAATAACCATCATTGATATCGAAATGTAATAAAATTCTTTTCTGTTCAAAATTGATACGGAAATAGTATAAACTACGTTCAGCAAGTGTAATAAGACCATTAGAGATAACATTCAAAAAACTAAATAAAGCCGTCTTGTTGTTGTTTACTTCACAATCAAATGGGTATGGTTGTTGTAAATGAAAATTTATATCATTTTCAGCTTCTTGTAATTTTTTTTGAATAATTCTTTGTCGTTTTTGAATACTTGCTTTTGTTTTTGTATGATCCCAATTAATAGAATTTTTTCTTGTTTTATGTCTGCCAATTTCTAATAACCAAATAACTATGGGCATAGCAGTCAAATCAGCGACATAATTCCAATAACCTAGTTGTATTTTTAATTGAAAAACAGTAGTAATTAATTCAGCACGTTGTTTTAAAAAATCTAATATGTTAATATTTGTTAACCAATCTTTAATATGATGATGAGAATGAGCTGGAACCATTTCAGTTAATACATCTTTGAATTGATCAGGTGATACTTTTTTATAATTTGGCATCAGTATTGATATTCGATACGAATGATCATTAGATAAATTGTAATTTTTCGCCTTTTTTGGATACGTAGCAGACATTGCTGTAGGCCATTCTGTTTCCATTTCTGATTCTAATAAATAAGGAGGTTCGAATCCTGTATCAAATTCAAAGTTTTCTTGACTGTTTTGGTACGGATCTTCATCCTTCTATGAACAAAAAAAAAATTCTATGTTATCAAGAAAAATTTTTTGTCTTACATTGCATTTGGATGATATTGACGTATTGAAGACTTTCTTCACAGCATTTAAATATGAACACTGATTCATACGTTGAATATTTTCATAAACTGAATTATTTGTTTTTTTGAGGAGATTTAACATTTCAGTTGCTTGATTACTCATTGCTTCTCTTCGGCATGTTCGTCGGAAACGTTGTAATTTTCTGTTACCACGACATATTTTGTTTTTCTTTTTTTCCACTAAGCCATTTTGGACGACAAGATGTTCAGATGATTTTGGCACAGGTTTGTATGCACGCATAGCGTAGGTTAAATCCAAATTGTAATACCTGAAATATGAGAGCTTAGTTTAAATTGGTTTTCAAGTGTTTAAAAGGGTGTCTGTTGGGTGTATTAATTGAGTTGGTATCAATCATGTAGCCAGCAAGACTGGTTTCGATAACTGCTATGAGCTTATACTTATCAATTACTGATGATATAAGTTGTTCACTCAAGTAGATGAATTCTCCTGCTAAGTAACACTAATAGTAAGAAGTTCATAAAACTCCGGTTCAGGTAGTATAATGGGAATATATTATTATCGAGAAAGTTTTCAATATTATAGTATTTATTACTATATTTAAATTTCTATCATGTACATAAATACATATGAAATTTAAAAAGGTGAAATCCATAAAAAGAAACGTTAACTAACCTTAATGAAATAATTGTAAGTAAGAGCTGTTGTTATTGTAGAAGATGAATTGATGTGATCGCTGTTGTGTTTCTCTTCGAATGAATTCATTATGAAAAAATCGGGCCTATTTAAAGGCAAAACCGATATCGAGTGATCTGTCCCATTAGCGACGACAGACATATAGTGGAAGAACGTTTAGAGAGAAGGACACATCACGGCATAATACATTATACAATACGATTAGGCTGAACACGACACATTATAATATATTAAAGAAGGACATACCACGGCATACAACGATAGACGAACGCATACTAAGTGATAACACAAGACAGAAGGACAGGTCACAGTGTATTTTCGAATTTAATAACGAATTCAATATTTTTTTTTTTTTTTTTTTTTTTTGTAATATTTTATTAAAAATTTTTGCAAGAATTGTATACATTCCTTCTCAAATGTATTACAAAAAAAAACTGCTATATTTTATCTAACATTAAAATATTTCTATAATTTTGAATTCTTTAATTTTAATCCTTTTTTTTTTACTTTGTACGCTAAATTTCTACTTCTAATCTTTTTTTAAAAAAGGGTAGAATTACAAATGGCGATATCAATGTACAATATATCATACTCTAGATATCATTTACTTTTTTTTTTAAAATATATTGTTAAAAATTTTTATAAGAATTCATGAACTTTTTTTTTTTGAATGCATTACAAAACAAAACCTGTTGTATTTTATCAAACATTAAAATATTCCTATAATTTTAATTTCTTTAATTTTAAATTTTTTTTTGCCTTGTTTATTATCAGCTTGTACGATAAAATTCGACTTGTAATCTTTTTTAAAATAGGGTAGGATCACACATGGCGATACCAATGTACAATATACGGTACTCTTGATATCGTTTACTTTTTTTTGTTGCAATATTTCGCTTAAAAGTTTTATAAGAATTTTATACATGTTCTTTTAAATTTATTACAAAAGAGAAGCCTGATTTATTATCTGTATCATTTAAATACTTCTATACTTTTAAAATTTTTAATTTTTATTTTAATTCCTTTTTTTTTTAGTTTGTACGGTAAATTTCGAGTTCTATTATTTTTTAAACCATTGTAAAATTAGAAATGACGAAACGTATATATACAATATATCCCAGTCTAAACACCATATACTACTTTTTTTCAAATATTTTCTTTAAAATTGTAATAAGAATTCTATACATTTTTTTTTTAGATGTTTTACAAAAAAAAACCGGATTTATTATGTGTAACATTTTAACATTTCTATAATTTTAAATTCTTAAACTTTAAATCTTTTTTTTTTATTTATCGTTTGTACCCTAAATTTCAACTTCTAATTTTTTTTTAAAATAGGGTACTACTACAAATGGCGATACCACTGTACACAATACCAAGCTATTGCTATCAATTACTTTTTTTTTTGTTTTTTTGTAAAATTTTGCTTAAAATTTTTATATCGATGGTATGCATTTATTTTTTAAATGTATTACAAACAAGAACTGTGATATATTTTTTCTATCATTTAAATATTTCTACAATTTTTAATTCTTTAAATTTAGTTTTTTTTTTTTTTTTTGTTTTAATGTGTACGCTAAATTTCCTCTTGTAGTATTTTCCACACCATTGTAAAATTAGACATGACGAAACCACTACACAATATATCGTAGTGTAAACACCATGCACTTTTTGTTGGCAAATGTTTTGTTTAAAATGTTTATGAGAATTGTATGCAACTATTTTTTATATGTATGACAACAGAAAAAACCTGATACATTTTATCTAACATTTAAATATTTCGATAATTTGTAATTCTTTAATATTTATTCTTCTTTTTTTTTTTATTTACAATTTGTACGCAAAATTTCCAATACTAATATTTTTTTATGCATTGTAAAATTGGAAATGACAAAATCAATATACAATCTATCCCAGTCTGAACACCATATAGTATTTTTTTTTTGCAAATATTTTGTTAAAAATTTTTTATAAGAATTGTGTGCACATATTTTTTTAATGTATGACATGAAAAAAACCTGATACATTTTATCTCATATTTAGATAATTCTATAACTTTATTTGTTAAATTTTAAATTCTTTTTTTTTATTTTTTAAAATTTCTACGCTAAATTTCGCATTCTAGTATTTTTTAAAGCATTGTAAAGTTTGAAATGACGAAACCAATATATACAATATTTCATGGTCCAAACACAATGTGCCTTTTTTTTTTTTGTAAATTGTTCATGAATTTGTGCCAAACCATGTTCAATTACAGACCGAATATTTACAAAAAAAAAGTAACTGTTAAAAATGTATGTTTGACGTTTTAAAACATAGTAATTTCTTCGGAATTTATTTCGAAATTTTTCGAGAAATCTATTCTCTTCAAATATTAACTAATTTATTTAAAAGCTTTGCAGCATTAAACATTTCATTTGAATTTTTTTTTCTATTAAACTTCGCTTGAAAATTGTGATTTTTTTTTCATGCTTTTACGATTCTTCTACTATATGGAAATCTTTTTATATTTTGTATTAGAACTTGTATTTGTCACCTTTTATGTTTTTCTAAAGTTATTCTCTAATAAACTTCTTTTATTTTATGCAATGTTGTTCGTAGCCAAAAATCTTTTTAACTTTTTTTTTTTATTCTTCATGGTGTTTCTCCATGATATTATTGCGCCTTACAATGAAGAAGCATCATCTATATTTATATTGAATGAATGAAAATTATAAAGCATGTGTCATGAAGTAGTAACTATTTAGATCATTTTCTGATACTTCATTTCAAAAAAAAACGATTTAACACTTTACTTTGATTCATGACAAAAAAATGTATAACTGTTAGAGAAACAAAAAAAAAAAATAATCAAAGAAGAAAATTGTTTTTTAGCAGTGTATTAACACTCCCAGTCGTATGATTCGTAAGGATCATATACAAATGGTGACGGTGGTAATGATATTGATGGAAATGATGAATTATGTTCACTATTGTTTTCATCATCACTGGATAAATAAGATTGTGAAGTTGATATTGAAACTTCACATTGTGGACTTTGATAATCATTATGTAAATTGTAACCCGTATGACTGGCACTAAGAAAAAAAAAAAAAAAAAGATTTATACTGTAAATATTTTATAAAGACTTTTTATTCTTAAAGCAAATTACTTTGGATGTAAATTATCACGTGGACGATCAATAAGTATCAAACGACGGGAAAAGGGCAAAACAAGCTAAATTATATAAATTATAAGTAAATTGAAAAAATAATAGAATGTTCTCTCTTAGTCTTCCATTTTCATTAATATCAAGTTGTAGAATCAATTGCATATAAATATCATTCTTAATGTTCAACAAAAAAAAAAAACGGCTGAATTAATGATTATTTTTTGATATTTATTGCTTTTTTTCTCACTTGTTGTTGATGCACTGATGTAGACGACATAAAAGGTATTGTGATATACAACTGATGATAATTTTTTGTGTTCAAATATGTATCTAAAATAAAAAAAAAAGATGAATTATGTACGGCTTTTGTTGAATGTCATTTTTTTTTTCTCAGATTACTAATGTTAACATCAATAATTGATGTTAAAATGTTGAACTTTGAATCGAGTTATTACAGTATTATAGTCTCGAGAGAATTCTTAACCGTGTATTACCAATACAATGACAGTGGCAAACGGATGAATCCAATAATGTTATTCTTAACTTATCATCATTGATTAACAGTATTAGTAAATTTATGAACATACCTTTCACTTTAGAATGGAAACATATATTGTACATAGCACTATATGTTTATTGAACAAAAGAAATAAAAGAAAAACAACAACAATACTTTTAAACATATGTATATTTCAAAAGTTGCCAAAATAGTCTACATTTGCTGAAAATATACAAATTTTTTTTTTTTATTTCAATTTATTCTTTTCGTTTCTTTCCGCTTCTGCACCATGTTTTGGATCTTTGTCATCAATATGCTTCTAACGTTTATATAGAGATAGAATTATTTGATTAAAAAAAATCTTTAGTATGAAAAGCCAATATTTTCTACGGAAACATACTTTTTTATTTACTAATTTTATATTACTATCATTTTCTAGTATCGACTTGTTTGGAATACTAATTGCAGTTTTACTTGGTGATGATGATTTTTTTTTAATTGTACTGGTGTTGGTTGTCCATGACGATTGTGCATAGGGAGCACGCATTAATGCAGCACGTTTACAGATAATTTTAATTAACTTTGTTTGCATTTTACCACTTATATATTGTCTGATATAGGATAGAAATTCGATATAAATTATATTAAAGAAAAAATTCATCTATGCATTGTCATCGACTATCCATGATTTATTCAGTTTTATCGAACATTAAATTGAATTTTTTTTCCGGGAAATCTTTTTAGAATTGAGATTATTCTATCATAAATAAATAGATGTCTCATGGATATACGACTATTTTTGGATTAAAAAACAAATTATAGCTAATTTAATTATCTCAAACTATAATGGTCATGAATCTTACATAGAAGCTGATTTTTACTTGAATATATTAATTTATGAAATGAATATAGAAGGGTGAAAAGAAACGTGTTGATTAAAAATGAAGGAATGTTCTAGACTAGTCTAGAAGGACATACCACATGGAAACAAACGTTATACCCTGGACGAGGTTATAGGACATACCAGATAAGAGGAACGGTCACCGTCTAGACAGTAACTAATCCCTTTTCGAATAGTTGATTCCCTAGATGTTAACGGATTTTTTTTCAAATTTCAACGACGAAATGTTTTGAAAATATATCGGAATAAATTTCAAATATTTTTCTATTTTTTATCAATTCTTCTAAACATTTAAAAAAAGATGTACAAGTTCTTTTTTTTTCTTCTAAATGATACATGTCTTCGCTAATTTCTTTCGAAAATATATCACATATTAATTTCATAATTTTTTCGGTGAAAAAACGAGACTACCAAATCAATTTGTAATATTCTCAATAGCTAATCTCAAAAATCCATTGAGATATATTTTTTCGATTTTCTTTACTCTCGAACTGGCATCAGCCAATAGTTTATAACATTCCAGTTAGATTGTCTATCACTAATGTCTGAGATGAAAATTCAAAGAATGATCGTTATATAAATTAAGAAAAAAATGCTGCGAGAGTAGTGAATCATTAGATATATTCTTTTGTTTATAATAATAAGAAAAGATTACAGTTTCAGTTTAAATTAATCAAAAAAAATAGTTTATAACAAAAAAAAAAAGTTACTGAAAAGAGCAATATGTTCCTATACTTGATATTCATCATTTGCATCCATGTCATTTTCGCCGACATTATAATCGTCAACCAAATAATCTATATATAAATCTTCATCGTTATCATCAATCATTGCATGATAATGTTCCATTTGATTACTAACATCAAACAGTGAATTGTTTACACTTATATTACGAAATATACTATGTAGAAATTCAGAAAAATTTTCTTCAATATTTAAATAATCAATCTGATCTTTAAAATATTTAATAAATTCATCTTCAGAAGTGTTTTGATTCTGCAGAAGCAACACAAAAATTTCTTCAATTGAACCTTTTTGAAAAAACTGTTCTTTTAAAATTTCTCTGAAATTTTTATTGTATTCCATTGTATGGTACACACGAGTTTTTTTTAATCAAATATAATCGAAACAATCAATATTATTTTCTACGGATTTATTTAAACAACACGTTAGAAACAATTTCAAACTTTTCCACGTGTTTTATTACATTTGTTTTTGTCTGTCTAGTATTCTTTATAGTAAAGTTTAAATACATCGGGTAAACGTTTTTCCTTTCCTCCCAGACATTGTGACCTCCAAATAACCTATGATTAGAAATTCAGAGTGAATATATTTTTTTTTTTTTCTTTCCATGTCTAATAGTTTTCCGTCTACTATATATTTAAATTGTAATATTGTTACCAATGTACAAAATATTGTTTTTTTAATATCCATTTTATTCATATATATATATTTGAATGAAAAACAAAAAAAAATAATCGAAGAAAACAAAAAAACAAAAAACATAATCACAACGTTTTCGTTTGTGTGAAGATCGACACAATTTTATAGAGGTTCGTTTCACGAAACAGGTCATATATATGAAAAAAATGTAGACCTAGATGTTACCGGGGTGCTCATCATTTGCGGAATTGTATTGTGAAGGTTGTGACCATGGTAAATCAACGATGAGAAGACTCATCATTGCATCCTCATCATTGAAATAATGAATTAAATCTTCATTTATCCCATCTTGTTTTTTTTCAACAGTTTCATTTCTTCCTTCATTATTTGTAATTGGTGAAGCTTGTTCTTGTTCTTGACGAAATTCTTGTACTTGTTGAACCATATCTTTGTTCGGGCTTCCATTATAATCAGCTGCTTGTTGTTCAAACTAAAAGTTAAATTTTTCAAAACAAAAATTCTTTGCCTCTTATTACTATATTTTACTGATAATAATCATTACCGTACAACGCGGAATTCGTATGTAACATTCCATACAATCAATCAAATTCACATTCACTTGTTTTGTACGAATTTGTTGACTTAAATACCGTTCATTCGTTTCATTATTCATAGATGATGAACCACTTGATTGAGTTGATTGCACAGGTCTCTGTTATGAGAAAAAAAAATGACATATATTAAATAAAAAAAAATCGATTGGAGACTTGTGTCAATGGTTGTTGTTCTTGTTGAATATTGCAGTTATATGTTTGAAAGTTAACTTCTAAACAAGATCATACATCAAAAATGAATTCAATATGTATGAAAATGTATATCTTCAATACCTTGGGAACGTTGTCGTTCTGGATGTTTTTGTTGTGAATGAGTTGACATGGTTTGAATTTGGAGTAAATGGGGAAAGAATATATGTCTAGAAAAGAGCAACGAAAGTAGTATATTTGTTTAAATAGGGCGATAAATAATATCATTATTTGTAAATACAAAAAAAAAAAAAAAGATAAGAAATCAATACACTAATGTTAGTCATAGACAAAGCCTCAAAGCATAAAGACACTATGTATTTTAATACCATTAAAGTATTTTTTATTTCATTTATTCTATAGTTGTATATCTGAAAAAAAATTATGTTCATGATTCCATTACACGTCTTTGAGGAGCGAAATGTTTCATTCAACACAACTTCTCGAATTATACCATCGTTGAATTATACTATATCTACAACAAAAGAAACATAATGACATTTTTTTTTCAAAAATATAGGCAAAAAAAAACAAAGACACGAAAAACATGACATGTTACTACTTTCTAAATGTATAATGGATGAGTTCAAATACAAAAAAAAAAAAAAAAAAAGAAAACAAAAGAAAAATCGCGTTATAACGACGAAGCATTAACACAGTCTCATACATATGAGAAAAAAAAGTCTTTATTGTCCAAGAGTCAATGCCGGTTTATCCATTCCTAATAAAGTATTTAAGGAATGAAAATTTTTAGCATTAAGAATAATTTTGCATTTTTCTTCTGATAAAGTTGGATGTTGTTGAAAATAATGATGCCAGAGTTGACGAAAATCTCGATTAAAACGACATTTTGGACCAAAATCATATATATAATGGAATTGAAATAAACAATTCGTATCATCTAATTTTTGAAGTTGTTGTGCTAGTTCGTGTCGTTGTTCAATAAATTTAAACCATTGTTGACGAAATTGATCATAGCTGTTTTGATTATAAGAAAAACGCATTGTTTCAGAAGAAAAATGATTAAAGAAACGTTTAACATGAGTTTCAACAAATAAGACTGAATAACCATTGATAAGATAAGTTAGTTCAAGATAAACTCGTTCTTGCTGAAAATCATCCACTAATGTACAATAACAGATAGCACGAATAAGGGCGAAGAAAAGCCAATCACTATAGGATGATTTTGTATGGCCCGTAACATAGGGTAATGTATAACGTGGCATATTGGGATCATAATGAGTTCGAGTATATAATTGACCTTGGCGATTTTCAATATAAGCATTAAGAAATGAAACACTTGTACCAATTAATTTTTGAAAACGGACATTTCGATGTTTATCTCGAAGATCTTCTAGAAATGTTTCCAATGCTATAGGAGTTGATTTATTCCATGTAAAGAATATTCGATCTTTGTATCTACAACAATCACAACAGTCATCTATTGAACTGTAAAACAAATATATCTACCTTCCAAATAATTCAATGTTTTGATTGACTTCTTTCAAGATTTTTTTTTGCCAAACAAATAAATAAATATTCGATAATGTTTCCGTTAATGGTAGTGTGTTTGGACTACCTTTGGTGAATTTGTAGATACTATTCTTGTATGAAAAAATATTGTTATGAAGAAATAAATGTAATAGATTTCGAATTGTTTGAATGGTGAGTGGTTCGAGTTTGTTTGTTGCTAAATTATCTTGTAAAAAATAACCAATAACATCGATCATCTCTTTATGTTCTTCTAATGTACAGAAATTAGTTATTTTGATGGTACAAAATAAAGTTGATGGACGAAGACGATGTTCAATGGTGGCATAGCGATATAATTTTCGAATAAAATCAGTTTCATCCGTAAATGAAGTTGAACGTAGTACACCATCAGCATAAGGTCGTAATAATTTATTTAAATATTTGGCCATTTTCCATGTTGTACTATATTGAGATGTAACAATAGGTACTAAAGACAACACATTTTCCTCAATGAATAAAAAAAAAACAATAGATGTATAAGTGAAATAATAAAAAAACTCTAAGTAAATATTTACATTGGATAGATTTGGTAGAAAATATAAATATGGTATTTTGACATGAGTTGGATCAACTATAAATTGTTTATATAAATCATTGTTAACGGCTTTATGTATTTTTAATTGTTCTAATAAAGCATTGATCGATTCAATCATATCTTTCATAGCAAGAGTGAATGGTTTTTCATTATTTATATCATTGACATCAAATAGAACATCGTAATCTTCGGATGTTAATAAATATCGATCGGCTTTTTTTTCAAATTCTTCTTTATTTCCCATGTAGAATATATTCATATTATCAGCAGTTCTTCGTAAAATAATATTATGTTTCTTGAGAGAAATTCGAATAGATTCAATTAATTTTTTTTCATAGAGTGCACGTTGTGAGAGACTCGATGGAATTGATTTGGAAAATAAATCTTTGAATAAATCGTACAGTTTCTTATGAATTTCCATATGTAAATTTAAATTAACTTTATATTTTAAAAATAAGTTATTGAGTTGATGTTTTAATGGAGCATATTGTTTCTTGACTATGTCACCCATCGATTCATTGGATAATGATGTATACATTAAACATGATGGTACATAACTGGGTCCACGACTTAATAATTGTAGTTGTTTGTCATTGAATGGATGTTGTACATCAATAATAATAGAAGATGAAGATGACATAATTTTCACGTATTGTGTTATTTCATCCTGATTCATATGATCTAATTCATCATAAGCATTTTGAAGAAAATAATCGATTCTATAATTGTAAATATCTCGCCATCGGTTCGTAATATTAGTAAGACGTTTTTCGAGTAAACTAATTAATGATGTTATCATTCCTTGATCTTTAACTAAATTACGATGATTTTTCCACAGCAAGGATAATTCAGAATCAAATTGAGCTTGAAGTCGATAATAAGTGACTTCTGCTTGCGATATATTTAAAGCTATTAAATCAAGTTTCTTACATCGAAGTTGATATTCATATTTATTAATAAATTGTTGTTGTTTTCCTTCATTATTCAAATTCGTATCATTGATAGTTGACGTCGACATTTGAATCGAATCGAATGAGACCGATGATTTATTAAAGAATACACCATGTTTCAATTCCATTAATGCTCGTTTTGATTTTTCAACCTGACGTCTCATATTTGATAGACGTTTGGCAATTTCATACTAAAGGATACGAAATAGAGAAACAAAAAAAAATGAATTGAACAAGTTCTTTTCAGATCGATATAATTTTTACTTGATACTCATTTGGTTTTTCTGCCATGTATTTTCGTTCGAGGATTTCTAATTCGAAATCATGTATCACTATTGCTGTTTTTAATTGATATTTTAATTCAAGTGGTTTAATTCCAAATTCTTTAACAAATTTTTCTATCGTTTCATTCATAGTCAATGTAAATCCGATCAAAGAATTTTTTTTTGCTAATAACTTTTCTTGATAATATTGAATTTCTTCATTTAATTCTTCTAAACGTTGATTGATTAATTTTTCACAAGCAGTTTGTTGATCAGGTTGATTCACATCGTTAGTTGTTGTCATTGGATGGTTGCTTAATAATAAAGATTTTACTTGCATTGGCCATACTCGTCGATCAACTTCGATTAAGTCTAATTCAGGTTCTGTTAATGTGCCTGTGACCGATTTTAGATAGATAATGGTGATATCTTTTTTCATACGAATAGCTTCAATTTGATGCATAAAAAATGCCATTTCTTGTAAATCACTGCTAGTAACAGATGGAGTATTTTGTAAAAGATTTTCAATCATACGAACAAATGCTTTATGATTCATTGTTAAATAATTTGGCATTTGATCTTTCGATGTTGTCTCATGAATATTAATGTCATCATCGTCATCGTCATTGTTGGCTTTAGTTTTTTTAATTTTCTTTGAAGTTGTACAGGGACTCGTTTTTGAACTATAACATCGTTTTTTATCCTTGATTATGGATGAATCAATTTCTTGTTTGGTTTTTGTCGATAATTGACTTAATTTTTGTGATAAAATGGTTTCTTCATCTTCAATTATCTAAGAAGAAAAAAAATTTCAAAAAAAAATCATATCAAATGTCGTGAGTGGTCTTACCTGGACCGAATCCAAGTCATTCAAAATTTCATATTCAATTTTTTCCTCCTCAAATATGGTTGATTGTAATCGAACAGAGTGGAAATATTGATTTAATACATCATCCGAAAATTGTAATCCATCATTTGTATCATCGATAATATCAAATGTATCATTGAACGATTTGATGGTATTTGTCGATACCGTAGTTGTATTTGCCATAGATAAATTATCTGAAAAAAAAACAAAAAAAAATATTCAAAATAAAGCCAACAATATCTAATGAGGGAACATTTCATAAATTCATAGAAGAAAAAAACATCGAATCAAAAACTGTACAATTGTCCTGAAAAATTTCATTGTTCTGTAAGATCAAGAAAATATTTTAATGGAAATGGCCGTGTTGTATGTTTCATATATTCGTCAATGAGTTGTCGTAATTTAGCAACGAATTGTTCATCCAACGTTGAATCAAATGTTTCATTTTTTTTAAACATTTGTGTCGGCCAGTCCCATGTTGGTTGTGTTGGCTCTTGTTTGACTGTTGCAGCAGCATGCTAGAAAAAATGAAAGAAGCACATATATAGATAAAATTTGATTAAATAATTACTTCTCTTGGTGTATTCGATGATTTGTTTTTAACAATTTGAGACCATCTTGGATTATTGAAAATAATAAAACAATACTGTTGACGTTGAAGATGAGCTGTATATGTTGTCGGCATTTTTTTCACTAATGTTTCGTCTTCGACATTGTTAGAAACTTCCATCGGTTCGACTTTCAATCCATCCTTCTCGTCGGATGTTGAATGTTTCGTGATTAAATTCAAGAGAATTTTGTTTAAATCGTTGGAGTTGATGTCCATCAGTGCAAGATATCTGGAAAATACAAAAAAAAAAAAAAAAAAACATTTAATGAAATGAATAGGATATATATGCTAGAAATTTTAATGCTTCAAAATTTTATTTTGAATTCAATGTCATAACGATGATGTTCCCCGAAAAAATGTGACACCTTGAATTTCTAAACCAAAACAATAACTATGAAAAAAAGAAACAGCAACAAAATAACTTGACAGGTCTGTTAACGACGTTGGTCCATATGGAATAAATCAAAAACTAAGTTAATTGGATATAATCGTTGAGTTCGTTGATGATATGCACGAATACGTTCTTCTAATTCGAATCGTAGTGTATTGTACAGTAATAATTCATGTTCTTCTGTATGAGACATACCAAGATGGATAGGTGCATTGGGCGCTAGCATACCAATTCGAAATCGTTGTTGCAATTCCTAAAAAATAAATTGGAAAAATTATCCATAAAACTCTATGTTCTATTACAGTATTGTAAACAAAAAAGACCTTCATTGAATGTACGTGGTCGAGCATGACGAAAAGAACATGTTTTCATGTAGAACAGGTTTACTAAAAAACAAAGAATAAAATGTATGCAAGAAAAAAATTAGCAAAAAATAGTATTACCATCAAACTGTAAAAAAAATTCCAATGCAGTTGGATATTCTTTTTCTTCAAGTTGAGGTATGGCATTGGGTTGTAGATTAAAAGCACGTATTTGTTCATAAGCCAACATTCGGATAAATTTATTCAGACGTGTATAGTTATAATCCAAAATAGATAAATCAACTTTTAACCGTTCGAGTAAATCACCAAAGTACATATTGTATTTTTCTCGTAGAAATGATGGCATGTTAGAAAGACTATTGGCAATGGTACAGGCGGGCTTAAAAGCTCCAGAACGTCGATAAGATAATTCTGTTGAAGTCAATTGATGATCTATCGTAGTCATAATCAGTATACGAATTTCTTTTTAACAAAAAAAAAAAAATATCAACATACATGGAATATTTGCTAATAATGGTTGACCTGTATCTCGTTTAGCATTGTAAGTCGGATAGCATGGCAAAATACATAATCGCCGATCTAGATTTAAAAATCGTTGTTTCATTTCAACGGATGTTGTTATATCATTGGTGACCGCTGTTGGTGTACATAAATCAATAATTTCCATCGTCTCAATTGCATCGTTGTCTGTTGTTGTTGACTATATAGATACATTCAATAGTTGAAAAAAAAATTTTTTCAATATTTATTACAATGTTGAAGTTTCTTTCATTCATATCGTCGATGGGCATTCGTTTTCTTTCCATTGTTGAAAAAAAAAAAAAAAGGAAATAAACGGTTGATTATTGCTATGAGGGAACGTTTTTCATTTTTAGTGGAGATATATTCACTAAAAGTGTCACAGACCTGATTTGTATAATATAATTTTGAATGGCTGTTGTAGTTGTTGAAGTAATGAAGTGAGAATACAGTAAGAAGATAGACAACTGCTTCTTTAGTTAATAATCTATGAAATGAAACGAATACATGCAAAACGAGCCTTTATATAGTAAAGTGCTATACACAGTGGTATGTCCTACGAGCGAGCGTTCGATAATATATGAGTGAAATAGTGAAAGAGACAGGGCACGACATATGCATCTGTACGATTATATATAGGGACATATCACGGCATACTAATACATATATCACTATATACTGGGACAGACCACGTCAACTATCATATAATAATTTTAAAAAAATTGCATACAAACGAAATTTAGGACATTCATGTATTGAAAGTCTCGGTTTTTTTTTTTTGATAAACTAAACGATCTAAAACATTTGGAAATATTTTTTTTAGTCATTTTCTCGATGATATGTGTTGATTCACAAAATGCATACATATTTTTTTTCCTTTTTGTATATTTTGATAATATATCTATGCTATGTCGTAGTTTTTTATGTGCTTCTAGATATATTTCAATAATAAATTCATGGTAAAAATAAAACTTATTTTATCTTTTCACTATGGAATCAGGGCTCTGTAAACAAGACAAGAGACTGTTTTAGAAATCATAAATAAAATTTGAAAAATAAGAATAGATTTCAGTCATATGAAATGATTTGAGTCAGAATCAAGCAGCTGTCACCATCAATATGATATCGCGATTTATATATACTTGTGTGTCATATCACTGAAATTAGAGTATGAAGTTGAGAAAAAAAAAATGATCTCCCACTATTTCGAATGTAAGATTTCAATTCACTATATCCCACAATTGGGATTACTTATTTATTCAAAGATTATGAGTAACATCGGAGCTGAACTACATCCAATACAATAACAAAACAAAAAAAAAAAAAAAAAAAAAAAATTACAAATACAAAAATTGTTCAACAAAAAAAAGAAAAACATTTCTCTTGGTTACTATTGATTAATTTTTTTTTAATTTTGTTTTTTCTTTTTCTGGGCACGAACAAATTTACTGGACGACCAAGCGTCAAACCGTGAACGTACTGTATGTGATTTGAAATCACCAATTTCAATGAAATCACCATCTACAAAAAAAATATAAACAACAATGTGAACGTATCGATTCAATGAATGATTACTTTTTTTAATAAACTCGTTCCATGCCATATCATTCTGAGTTACATCATAATTACATTGGTCACCTATAATAATCCATATTTTCAATTAAATATATTGGAATTGTAAATGAATTATCTTACCGGTTACTTTATCTAGAAACCATATCTTCTTGTTTATAGATTTTCTCAATATGATTTGAATACAGAAAGTGGGCAAAACGTTAGCTGTTGTTGTTGTTGAGATTATTTGAGGATTTTTCACTGATACACAAATGTAGTGTATGATTCCCAAAGGAAAGTGACGATATATTTCCATGATAATATTCTCTTCTATTATGTTAAAAAAAAAGGATTTGCCATTAGTTTCTTTTTTTTGAGGAAGAAAAAAAAATTCATTCTTACTACTTATATTGGAATGACAAATGACGGCATACATTTTTCTTGCCAAACGACATTTTTTAGCACGCCGCTTTCTTAAAGTTTGAGCAGCAGAAACATCGAAACGAAATTTACGACGCAATGTATTTTGATCTAGAAGATTCATAAAAAGAAAATGTTGAAACTAATGGAATAGGATAAAAACATTTTATGCATACCTAAATGTCCATATTTCGAGTAGGGTCGATCATGTTCAGTAATGGATCCAACCATGTTTGTAGGTGGATATGGATGAGTATTGATTAATGTTGAGACATGAAATGGCAGCATTACTAATGTTAATTGTGTTCCATACGGTGTGTCAATTGTGTACGACGTATTGTCTACTGTCATAACTAAACGACAACAACAGAAAAAAAATTTTAAGGAACAATCATATAGAAAAGAATACCATCAGCAGCCATTGTTGTGTCAGTAGTCATATCTGTGAATTATAAAATAACAATCATGATACAAAAAAGAATTAAATTATTTGTTTTAAGAAATAACCTTCTGAATTAGATGATGGCAAAGCATCTTCGAATAGATTTGAAAATGATTGTGGTGTTGGTAAGTTCTGAAAATCATCCAGAAAATTCATCACTGAAGCTGGAAGTTCAATCTTATCGGTATCAGAAAACATATTCTGAACCACAGTTGTTGCATATTGAGTGCCATGGTCATTTGCCTAGAAAAAATTATAATGAAAAAAATTTTTTTTCAAATAGAAAAAATTCATTCACTGGATTATATTGTCTATCTGACGATTCGTGATGACCATGATTAAAAGCATCATTATCATGTGTAAAGATAGGTGACATGAATTCATCGGGCATGGAAAGTGTTTGATGATCGAACATGTCTGTATTAAGAAAAATGAATTAACATAGAGTATTACTTAGAATTTTTCGTCAAATTCTACTTTGTTCGTATAAATGAGGATCCGTGAACAAGTCATTATTATTTCCGTACACATAATTGCAGCATTGACAATTGCATGAAGGCTTAAACATTGTGTTGAATGAGAAATAATTTAAATTTGTCTTAGATTGAATACAATGAAAAACAAATTTATCGGGTGAAGTAAATCTATCCAAAAACGAATATAAAATAGGTTGGAAACTGTTTCAAAACAATAACAGTTATGCTTATACTCGGAAGACGTACGAATAGATGTAGTGTTACGACGAAGTTTGAATTTGAATTAAATGAAATGAAACTGAATATCCGACAGTATTTATAGTGGAAGATGAATCGGAAGAAAAAGCAAAATTTAATTTTCGAGTCATGCTCCTTTCGAGAAAGTGTCTTTTCCATTTTCTTTTTCGTTCACAACATTCTTTGGATATCCAGGGTGCACCCAAGGAGAATAGTTCTTCCTTTCGAAGAATATGTCTGTCTCCGGTTAAAGGTCAATAAATTAATTGTTTCTAAGAATATTTTAGAAGATTCTATATATATTAAAAAAGTTCAATTTGTACGATGTTTTTTTTCTGTGTTAATTAAAAAAAAAAAAAAAAAAAAAAGTTCTTCTATGGTTTAAATTTCGAAAAAATACTATATATTGTATTTCATGATGGGAATTCATTCAAAATTAAATCAATAGTTTAATTATCTTTGAAACAATATCAAATTTAATTTTTATTTTTATTAAACGACATGTCGAAAACAATATTCCGCCAACAGTTGGAAAGCCAAAAGAATCAAATATTCATATGTCTGTATATGTTCGTAGTGATAAAAGTACATAAATAAATATCCAGGGTTTCGTGTTCATAGTTTAAAGTTCAAAAAAACATCGTCTATGTCTGCGATCGAATAGAATCATCTGGAACGATATTCTGTATCAATACATGTTTCCACGATTTTTTTTGTGTCTCTTCTACATACAATATGTTATTATTGCATGACGGAACGATTGACTTGGTCGAATGTCCTACCGTACAATTAACGAGAATATTTGCTGTGCAACAAATAGTGCTGAATGGCTTTAGTCGAAATCATTTAATGAAAATTGCTGTCATTGATTACTTTCACATGGTTTTTGTCATCGTCTACATTTTTTTTTTGCTCGATATGCCAAGTAAAATGAAAAAACAACATTTGCAACTGGTTTTTGCATATATATCTATACATTAGGTCACCAGCATTCTACACAAAACCAACAACCACATCATCGTCAACAACAATATGCTCGTCGTCATCATCGACGTGAACGGAAAGTTCCACAAGTGATTGAAATTTCCAAAGATATGGCAACATCGAAAATTCAAGTTTGGATCACATCCAATGGGTAAGTCTCCATGTTAGTCTAATTCTGTGTAAAATATTACAATACATATACATGTGTGTTGCAGAAAATTTTTTCTTTTTCTTTGTTTTAAATTGTCAATAGTATGTCAATGTTTTGGACCGATCGATACAAAGATTATGTTGGACCCGACTGTTTTTGTCATATCAACAGCAACCGACTCCTCACCATGGTCCCCATCATCTGGACTTCGTACACTTTCAACAACAGATGCACACGTACCGCTCAAAGCACTACTAATTGATCGTCCATCACCACCATCATCCCTTAGAAATTTATTGTTAAATATGGGAATATAGAAAACAAATAGTTTTGAACATTTGCGATACATGTACATTTTTTTTTGTTATTTGTTCAACTATTGTTCTTGTCGTTTTCTTTCTGGGAAACTTTTTTCCCTAGTGAAAAAAAAATCAAGCGAATGTTTTCAGAACATTCTGTGATTTCATGTATAGATATAGGTATGTTTTTTTACTAATTATTATTCCAGTTCGATCTTTAACGAACATATTATTTTCATACGAGAGCGCCCTCTACTTATCCTATTTTATTATTGGTTACATGCTTGGCGGCCTTTTTTTTTCTCTCTCGTCTCTCTCTCTCTCTCTCCTGGGCTACAAGTATAAATATATGTGTTCTACAAATATTCGTCTCATTTCTGTCTTGTTCATCTTTCAGCTGGTCATCCATCAATATGGAACGTTCAACAAACAAAAGTTTGTTCATTTTTTTTTATCATATCTGTTACTTTTTTTTACAAATACAGGTCGACAAAATCGAAACGATCGTCGTCAACAACCAACACCACCACAAAAACAACAACAACAACAACAACCACTCTACCAAAAACGAATTGTTGTGCCCATAAGAGGCGTTTCGGTGACGTTTTGCGTCACTTCAACAAGGTAAACAATGCAACATATTTATTGAAAAAAAAAAAAAAAAAAAAAAAGAAAATTGATTCCGCTTTGGTTTTAGCCCGATGGTGGTTCAAGTAGTGTCGCCGGTACCGGTGAAGAATACACCGATACCTGGTGGTGTTCGTGGTCGGCTTCAACTTGCCGACAGTGTTGGTGGTGGTGTTAGTGGTGGCAGCACGGTGGTAAAGCATGACAGCGAAGGAGGTCATGACTATAGTCAGTTTTTAATTGACAACATTAAATAATTTCTTTTTTGTTTTTTTTTCTATTGTTTCTTTTTTTTTTTCTTGTTGTTGCTTTTCTATTCTATGCAAGCTTTTTTGAATTAAAGTTGATTTATAGCTACTTTATTCTTATTTTGACCGCAGATTTCACGAAAATACCTTTCGAAATATCTATCTCAATGCCGACAGTTGGAAAAAATATATACGAATGGCCGGGAAAGAAAGAAATATACTCGAAAAAAATGTTCAATATATGAATGTCGACGAATATGAAAGATTCTGAAAATTAAGATGTATCGAGAGCTGGAAAACACGAATTAAATGAGTGAAGGATATAGATTTCAAATGTATCGATACATATGTTAAAATAAGTCAATAAGATCAACATGTGAAAGTATATATATTTTTTTCTCAAAAAACACGAGAAAACACTTCAAATCATTTTAGCATAATCATCCAGTATTTGTTTGTTTTTTTTTTTTGCATTTCATGAAAACTTAATTGAACTCAAGTATTCTTATTTTCTATTTCATTCATATGGAAAATTCAATAAAAAAAAAAATTCACAAGCATACAATAGAATCATAAGTAGCTTCATCGTCTTCGCACTTCTACCTAAACAAAAAAACGTTTTTCTTTTTTTTCATATATTTAATTTTTTATGGAATTCATTGCAGACTCGAGTACTGTACGCAAAGACGTTTATTATTTCAGTTGGAATATTATCGTAATAACGCGATTAAAAAAAAAAAAAAAACGACGCATTGTATTACTTGTTGAGAAATTCTAAGAAGTGTAGAACAAGTTTGAACAATGCACAATATTCATATTAATGCGAACAAAGAATTTAAAAAATACAATAGAAATTAACGATATGTCCGATAATCGATCGTGTGTGTACCGAATATGGATAGAAGCTATTGGTTTTGAATTTAATTTGATGCTGACATGGTGAATTTAGAAATAAGAAAACAACACTTGTGCAAATGTGTTGATGGGATCGTTTGATCCAAAAATAAATTCCTTCGAATCTAGAAGTTCCTTGTACATCAGTTTATCACACAATTTACGAAAGGAAATTAGAAGTTTCACGAAAACAATATAGCTCGTCTGTATGTTTTTTTTTCAGTATTCAATAAAAAATTGTCTAAATCGAAATCAAATCATTTTCCAACTCATGCAAGGATTAATCTGTGCCATTGTCATAGCACCCGGCTAGTCTAATAGGATGATGATAATTGCATAAAATAATTTTTTTTGTACTTCAAATAGACTATAACCATTTATTCAAAAGGAAAAAAAAAAAGAAAAGCAACAAATATATTCTAATCTTCCACATCACCATTAGCCACCTGGAGCATAACGAGCAACGGCAACAAAATGTTCGAAATCGAACTCGTAGGGCAACTCATTTTCAGATCATCAAAACCATCATCAAATATTGAAGTAAAATCATTTGAATCATCATCCACATCATCCTCACTATCGTCATCAAGAAAAAAAAACCGGTTGGCGAGTAACACATGTAACACTAGTAATAATACATAGTTGACCAACAAATCGATTTATATTAGTGAAAAAACACTTGTCGAATATTTTCATCAGGAATTAATTGACGAATTTGATGGATTATAAAATCAACGGCACCACTTTCTATTGAAAAACGATTATTTAGAAGAAACATAAGTTGATCATATGATATGTTTTCGTCGAAACACAAACGATAATTCTTACTACGAATTATATCGTTAATTTTTATTGTTAAATCGTCAGTTATATGATAATTGAATTCATTATCATTTGATGTTGATGAGGATTGACTAGAACCGAATTTATCGTTTGACATTACTAAAGAAAAAAAAGAAAAAAAAATTTAGTACATAAAAACGGAACAAAAATGTATGAATTCAAAAAAAAGAAAAAATGGTAGTGATACTTAGTCAGTGTTTCTTTCACAAGAAGATGTTTGAAATTATATGAATCAATGATTAAACAGAAAATCACAGCTATATATGTACATATTTCCTTTGTTTTTTTTTGTTCTCGTCTTCTAATTTAATTGTCTGGTTAACCTAACTACATCCTCTTGCTGACGGCTTTCCATTGAGCTCGTTTTTTTTTTCGTTGTATTGCGATATATAATTTCGGTTAGATTCTAGTCGTACCCTCGAAATAGAAGACCTTTGATATTAAATTTAATTATATTTAATTGTTTCATGAGTCATTATTATTTTCGAGAAATTCTTTGAGTTTAAATTTAGGTTCATAAAACATCAGGAAACTTTATTCTACAGCAAAAATACAAGCTGATAGTCAATCGATTTAATCTTATTGTAATATACTCATAATATCATTCACATAAGAAAAACAAATTAATATTGCTGATAATTTTTATCGCATTGAGGTAATACAATACATGGTTTCCACGGTAAATATTTTAGAAAACCATCGCGTTTAAAAATATCTATGAAAATGAAAGGATCAGCGATATGTCCATTTTTTTAGGGCTTTAAAATCAAAATGTTTCAATTGTAATTTTTTAACAAAAAAAAAAAAAAAAAGAAGAAAAAAAGTAGTTCAACGTATATGATTTACAGAAATATGTTCGAACATGACTGCAAAAGAACGCGCTCTATTGGCACTTTTTTCTCATTGGTTACTTCAAAAAATACCCACTTTTTTTCTTTCGTTGTCTTTTCAAGTGATTATTTTTTTTTTTTTTTTTTTTTTTTTTTTTCAACCGTTCTTAAACGAATTTCCATCCGCCGTAATTATAAATAGTGGTGCTTATACGTGAACACATGACATTTTTTTTTGAACTTTAAAAACGTCCTTTCACTTTTCATCTCCATCCTCAATGTTTCCTGTACCTTTTCGTCGTAAGTACATTATATTATTCAATTACTCTCTATAAATTTTAATTCAGGTCCTCGTCATCGTCATTACCGTCAACAACATCGACGACTGCAACAACAGCACCAACCTATTATTATCCAACATCATATTTTCATCATTATCCTCCTCAACAACAATCCAACTCCACCTCCTCCTCTTGCTGTTCAAACACCATCGTGAGTCAATTGTATTATACCGCTGAGCATTTTGTCATTATTCTTTTTTTTTTCCATTGCAGATTAACAAGAATTGAAATGATGGTGGCCATGATGGTCGATGTATTGTTTTGGTGGTCTCGTCTTTGTGGCGGCTTTATTTTTTTCGTAGCTTTTCTCTTGTTTGTTCTTTTCGTTTTGTAATTTGTACAATTTTTTTTTTGTTTCTTCTATGCATATAATAATATGTGAAACGTAATGAAATATTTATCTGTAGTAAGAAGAAAAAAAAAAGAACTTATGGATCGTTGAGAATTCGAAATGAAAATCTATCACAAATTTCTTGAGAAAACAAATATTGAAAAGCTTATGTAAAAAAAAAATGACGCCTTAAAATATAGCTTCGCATGTATTAAACGGTGATGATGTTCGTTCCATCTTGTATATTTCTCATGCAAATATTAGATTTTAGTCGTACAGGAACAGCATGGAATGTTTCATTAATAAAATTTTCATATAAGAAACAGTAAATATTAACTTCTCCTTGCGCGTATATGTTCATGATATACGATTATTCTTCGTGAGATTTGCATCAGTATTCTTAACCATTGGAGTGGACTGTCTAGTTTCCTATCAGATTTTTTTTATATGCCATATTCATGTTCATTGTACCCGGGAATATAAGAATCTATTGTAAACAATTGAATGTTGCAGTTTCAAACAATATCCGTATAACTTTTCTTCAATGTACCATTGATTTCCATCTTTTACGTAACATAGCTCGTAGAAGCTTTCTTGTTTAAAAAAGAAAAAACGACAAATAGACAAACTCCGAATGATCGGAACCACTTTTATAAATGCGCGATCCAAAAGCTGAAATATAGTATAAACAATCATTTCGAATATCCTCAAACGAAGTTACTGCAAAGAGAAAAACGGATTTAGTAATTGACAACTTCTTCGCGCAACAAATTCGAGAAAGAAAGTTTAAATCAAGCTGAATACAATGGAATAATTGAAAACAGAAATGTGAAAATAATCATACGTAAGGGGAAAATGAATGAGAGACAAGTTTTACTTACTCTTCATACTGCGGATAGTGATTTTAGTTTTCAATCACATACATTCATTTGTAAATCAACTCAAAATCAACTTGCTCTTTGAACCATGAAATTTTTTCTGATTATATATTAAATAAACCTTGTGTGTTTCGTAAAGAAATTACATCGTGTAAAATAATCTTGTAATTAACAGCCGATGATTCCACAAATTATATATATATTTCTGCTCGTTTGATATTTTGTTAATATTCAACTCATAAATTATTTGAGCGTGATACGTAATCAAGTTAATCGTCGACGTTTGCTTCAACAACAACGGCAACGACGTCGATTACAACGACAACAACAACAACAACAACAACAACAACAGCAACAACAACAACAACAACAACAACTACAACAACTACAACAACAAGCACAACAACAATATCAGGTCTTCTTCGTGGCTGGCTCGTTACGAGGTGGTGGTAGTGGTATGGTCCTCGTAACGAGTGACAGGTAAACTAATTTGTTAGTTTTTACATCATCATTATATCTTTTTTTTTTTTTTTCTAGTCCAATTACTGTCAACATGATTCCGTTCTCGTCGTCTGGTTCTGCTGCTCCACCACCAACAACACTTCAACGACAATGGCCTGATCATCCTGATTATACACAATTTGACATTAATAACATTTAATTTGTTTTGTTTTGTTTTGTTTTTTTGTTTGCTCCCCTGGTGCTTTTTTTTGTTGTCTTTGCCATTGTTGGTCGTTGTTTGGCCTTTCTTTTGTCTCTTGGTGGTTTTTTGGCCGGTGATACACTTTTTTAGCTTTTTCTTTTTTTTTTTTTTTAACAGAAAAAGCGTTTAGGATTATACTTTTTTTTTTGTTTCACAGTTTCACTTCAGGTCGAATTACTCAGAAACATATTGAGATAGTTACATAAAAAAAAACTAAGTTCAAAAAAAGAATGATTATAAGAAAAACAGCGATGATATTACTGATACTGGCGTGATGACTCTACAGGTAGAAAATCAGAGTGTTCTAGGAAAGTTGGTTCCTTTGGATTATACTACCAACGCAATAAAATTCGAGTATTCTTGAGACATGAGAATGATATTCGTTTTTTGGCATAATTTTCTTGAAAGACAGGGACTTTTGCAAAGATTCGGTAACCAATAGTTGCAACTGAATTGTTATCTGAATATCAACAGTCTTGGGTATGAGATGTACGACTACGGGATACTTCTTTTTTTTTTCAACATATTGTTAAA